GCCTCAAACATCCATACGGTAAAAGGTGAAAAAACCGCACGATGGGACGAGTCCAGTTGGCTGACACCTTATAATGAACCCCTATGACCCCAAACGAAACATTGGGGCATCCACATCGTGCTACTTCTCCTGTAGCACGATTTATGGCTGCAAGGAAAAATTTTGATTGCGGAGTCTGTAGGCGGAATCACTGGAAAAATGCAAGTGTCACTGGAGCACCTTCGCACCTTAACACCTTCACAACTTTACGCCGCAAAACTGGCACAAGGTTGTCCACTGCGGACCACACTACCTTTCCCAAGCAATCTTTTACATTTTCATAGGTCATCGCGGACCGTTCTTTCGAGAAAACTGACATCAACCGGCTGAGCGCCGATAGATGAAGTATCCAGTAACCAGGACTCGATCTCTTGAGATAGTGAATTTAATAATAATCTTGCTAGTATCCCTATTTACTAGCAAGAAGTGGGGAAGTACAGACAATTTCAAAAAGGTATATAGTATTATTGTCTTTATGTCAAAAGGAAACACGACGACTCCCTGGAGATGCGTGGCCCTTCATTTTTCACGCAAAGTCCAAAAGATTATTGATTACACCGCAACCTTCTCGGCATGTCTCTTGTGTCCCAGAAAGCTCTACGACCCATGAGCTGGACAAGGATTCGTGGCTGAACAAGTGTAGGATGAAAAGTGATCTATATGAAGGTAAAGAATAGAAATAGCTGTTATTAGCTACCTCGTAGGGACTGCCTTGTATCGTAAGTGCAACAAGCACTAGTTACCACCTCAGCACAAAATTCTTGCAACCATCAGGGCCTACAACCCACCAGTACGCCATTTGTTTGCAAAAAGGTCAGACCCTGTCGTGAGGGTTGAAGGGCGCATCCGCGAATGAGTCCACCCTCTGAAGTTATCTATCAGTTGACTTTGCGCTCTAACCGATCACTGTGTAGCTCATCACTAGCCGAAGGTGGCAGGAAGGAAGAGGTCCTTCCAATTCTACCACTATGCACGACTGGCTTCCTGACGATCTCAATAAATGTTTAAATTCCTTTGACTTAGCAAGTAACATTACTAGCAACTATCTCACCTAGACCAAATCTATGCTGACCAAGATCGCGTTTTTGCTCTAGGCCATGAGACAGCTAACGCAAAACGGAATAAGTTGCGGCGGTAAGTCTTGCCTATAGGGGAAGAGGCAAACGGTCGTAGATTTCTCCGCCGCTGTACCACCCTGTTGAGCTCCTTCACGCACTCGCGTAACGAGGGGATTCAAACCCAAGTGACAGCTCTTGGATATTCCATCTCCTTCAGGTACTCAACGCCCTTCCATTCCAAGTAGGCGAGAGTTTTTCCAACGCCCTTCGATTCCATGTGGTGGCACCCAATCCTGTAGCAGTACGAAGTTTCCAAGATGGTACAGGCGACGACATGAAGGCAGGATATTCTCCTCGAGTTGCTCGATGTAACCGTCAGCGTTCACTTTCAGTCCGGGGTCCACGAAGAAAATATCGGTCTTCCCATTCCAGGAACTTCCGGTCCATACCATCAACCCGCGCCTTGGCGACTGAAGATGATATCCTGGACCGTAGCGACGTTGTCGGAGCTGCTCGATGTTGGAGGTCTTCCAGATCAAGAGTGCCGGTCTCCAGGTAGCTGTCCATGGGTGACTCCATACAAGAAGTTTCGCAGCTGTTTGGAGGTGACGTGAATTCCATAGGCTTCTCCAGTCAGGCTGCGATTGGAGATGGCTTCATATTTTGGTGTACATGAAGGTGATGGACGAGAGCCTGCTCCTGCTTATCGAGGAACATCTTGGGTATCTTCCGCCCTGGTACTCGTATCCACGTCTTCTATCTGGGCTGCGTAAACTTTACTGATATGTGACTCGACCAAGTGTCTTTTTTTGTACCCCTGTGTACCCCTGTATACCTAGAAGATATCTGGCAGGCTTCTAATTCTAAAATCTGGCCAGCATATCAAAGCGGGTATGTTGAGTTACTCCCGAGTCGCGGCAAATTATTCGGAAGTTAATCTAAAGACTAAACACCCCAGCAAAGCACTCCAGCTGAAGTCTTGAGGAACAGAGCAGCCATTTGGTTGTATTAGGTTGTCCCAAAAGTTCGTGGACATTTTTTGAATCTCGTATCAGATCTTTCCGCAGCCATTTCGAGATTATGTGGTCTATGGGAAGTGTGTGAGGTAAGCATTCCACAGCTTCTTCACCGTCCCTCGCAGTCGCTGTTCTCATATGAAAAACGGTAATTGAAATTCATCATTTTCGACACACTTCGCTATATGAATCTCTACCAAGCCACAACGTGGTTGGAGCCATAAGCGCGCGTTCAGACTTCGCGATCGCGCGAACGGACCGCTCGACTAGGATCGCGCGATCCGATCGCGCTACTGTGGGTGAAATTACACCGGGAGGGGGTCATGTTCGTTCATGTTCAACTCAACTCAACAAACAACAACAACAAAGTTCTGGGAAGGGAGTCGTACTGATATCACCATTTCTCACATCACGATGCTGTATCCTGCCTCCAATAGGCAGTTCCAAAAACGATATATAATGTATTAGGTTGTTGCATAAGTTCTTATACACGTGTTTGATCCTCTCCTATTTCGTTCGCATGGATGTTGGTATTACGTCATCACGTGTGCGTGACGTGTACATTATACTCTTTCATTACACTAGCTATCACTCACCGAGCTTGCATTTGCAGTACACAATGTCGCACAATTTGCACTGTGACAAAACGTACCTGCGCCACTGTTTGGTTTTGCTCCACGATTTCGGCTGGAATGCAAAGGAAGCCCATACCAAGCTGGTGGATACATTAACGGTGAGGACCCGTCATCTCTTACATGACATGCAAGAATTGGTTCGCCAAATTCAAGAAAGGAGACTTTTCTCTCGAAGATGCTCCGAGGTCGGGTCGGCCGATGGAGTTGGATTTGGAAGTACTACGTTCCACCGTGGAGGAGGACCCGTACCTCACCACCAGAGAAATGGCGACCATGCTTAGCTATGATCGTTCGGTTGCACGTGGACTAGAAAAGCTCGGCAAGGTAGCGAAGCTTGGTCGATGGGTCCCACAATGACCTTCACCCCAAAAATTCTCCTGTCCTGTTTGGTGGTCCAGAAGAGGCATGGAGTACTGGGAGCTGCTGGAGAAGGGACAGACGATTGATGCTTCCACATACGTGACCCAGCTGCGGAAATTGAAAGATCACGTCGACCGTACTCGTGGAAGGAATGCGGAAATCTACTTCCACCATGACAACGCCCGACCTCACACTGCAAAGGCGACCCAGGCCGAGCTGGAGAAGTACGGATGGCTGATGGTCGCCCACCCTCCCTACAGCCCTGACCTCGCTCCTTCTGACTACTGGCTGTTCAGCCACCTGCAGCGCTATCTGGACGGAAAAAAGTTCGAAACAAAGGATCAGGTCAGAAAGGCGCTCGACGACTTCTTCAAGTCCCAGCCTCCGTCGTTCTGGAAGGATGGAATCGACAAGCTGCCTGAGCGCTGTGCGTTGAGTAGTTGAATTAGGTGGATGACTCATACCTCTAATCTCCAGGGCTTAGGTTCGTTCTTAGAATATTTCAAAAAAGTCGTGTATAGAAACTTATGCGACAACCTAATAAGCTAGACCTTTTTTTGAATATCCTTTTAATGCCGTGTTCATACTCGCATATATCTGACTATTGCCAAAACCGGTCGAGGACAAAGTGCTTGTTTGGTATCGACACTGGGAGGACGCAGAGAATTTTGCGAAAAAAAGGTCTTAATATCTGTCAATGGATCGCCTATAGGAATGGAGAATTAATCACGGGAGAACTTAGATTGTCTAAAATCCCATTTCTCCAGATCCGTATTACCATTCTCTCGTCGGCATTGCGCCGGTTCTTCGATTTCCGTTGGTCCAGGTGTCGCATGGTATGGACGCTTTTTCTAGAGTACCTGCTTCTGGTGCCAGTGATTGCCTGTGATGGAGCTTCACCGAAAAATGCTGCATATTTACAATGTGGAACTCAGCATTATGGCTAAAGAAAAGCAAACACCAATAGATTTGCATAATGCGAAATAAAAAATAACAACTCAAGCTATTTCCGAAACTCGTTTCTTAAAATCAGGTAGGCGTGGAACACAAAGCGGATAGAAGAAAAAGGAAAAGAGAATCAGAACAGTAAACATGAACGAACTTATGACCCCCTCCCGTGTAATTTCACCCAAGTTATGCGCCGATCGGGAATTCGCGCGGTCCTAGATCGAGCGATCGGGTCGCGCGATCCGAAGTCTAAACGCGCCTCTAAGCGGGCTACTTTGCCTTATTTAGATTTCTATGATGGCTTATCCTTTCACAGTGCGGCTTTGGAGATGCGCCAGTTGATCCGCTTCAGTGACTTCCTATCTGTGGTTCTTGAAAACTTCGGTCCAAGGGAGAACAGCCCTGCACTGGATTTGGAACCTACTGTGTTCCTTGATTAAAACCAATACGTACAAATCAACTTGCTATCTAGTCCTTACACTTGACTGGTCCCAAAGCACAAATGAGAGAGGGCCTCGCTTCCTTAGAAAAGTTCTGAAGTTCGGTCAAAATTTTTCTCATGAGTTGACCAGTACTCCAAGGGGAGCACTGTGTACTGTTCTACAGCTTTTTTCTCCCCCTTCCGCTAGTACAGGCTGGCTGAACAGCAATTTTAACTAGATATTGGAGTGGGCTGCTCGGAATGAATCCATGCCCCAAGCGCCAGTGTGCTAGATCCCCAGAATGGGCAGAACCATCGCGCAATACCATAATCCAGTAGGGCGGTGATGAGCTGGTGCTTGTTGTGTAGGATTTCTTTCTCCTTCCCATGATTGAATTATCTTTCTTCTCAGCCGATGTAGTGTACCTATGATTCCAACTTGTATTCAAATGCAAGGGGGGGGGCGTTGAAAACGCTATATTGGTCCTAAACGAGCAATGTTTGCCATACCTCACCACACGCTCAGTGGTCACACATTTGGAGGCGACAACTGCTCGAGATCCTGAAGTTCAGCTGGGGAATTCCAGCACAGTCTTCGTGTAGCCCTGACTTAGCTCTTTCCGATCGCCATCTAAACTAATCCCACAGCGGCCATCTTCTGGGTAAAAAATACGATTTTTGATAGTACCTCAAAAATGACCCAGCTGCCTTTCTGGGCACAGAACCAAGAGGCTTCTGGAAGCAGGGCAACCACACATTGCGTAGTGATTGGCAACAAGTTGCCAATGAAGGTGACATATATATAGTTGATCAAAATTGCTTCCCACTGGAATAAACTTAACTCGAAAAAATGTTCGAAAGTTCCACGAACTTGACAACCTAATATAACGCTGAATAGGTAGATTAGTTATTCTGAACAACGCTTGTTAGCTTTGAGGACTAAGGAGTTCGGCACTACTGTAGCTGTATCTCTGAACTCGTAGGGACCTATCCAACTCATTTGCATATCTCATAAAATGCATACAACTTCAGAGAACTTTTGGAATGACTACCTTGTTCAAGAACACCGACACAACACCGGAACCGCAACCGATTTCGAGCACGATTTGTGGGCGAAATATCGCGCAGTTTCTGAAAATAGCTGCCTCAGAGTGAATCAAGGGCTATAAAGAAAGAGTGAGCAGACTCAGTTATGTATTTTAGATTTTCAGAACCGTATCTGTGCTTGAGAAAATCAGCTAGAAAGGAAATTTACCTGCAAATCTTTTTCAATAGCGTCCAAAAGAAGAAAAGTATCCTCGGCAGGTTCGTAGACTGACTGTTTTTGAACGGCACTCAATTTGTACAAAGGGGTCGGCAGTGACATATCTGAGAAAAAGCCATGAAAATAAGAGGTACGGTCTCTAGCAGCCATCTGACAGATGCAGTCTCAAAAGATCGGAGGAATGATGAAAAGAATGATTAAAGTGTACAAGGATACAAAGTGTAGCTGAAGCTATCTATTTCGAGAGACTGTGGTGGACCAGAAAGACAAGGAGGGAGTGCAGCCAAAAATGAAAGAAGAAGACAGAACTACTTGGGGCAAATGGAATGAATACCCTTTGCCGCACGTTTCGAGTGCCGCGCCTTAATTACTGCGGAAAAAGCGTTACCTCGGAAATCCTAGGAGAGATTATGCGAGAGAAAGACAAATTGGTTTTGAAAGAAAAGGCTAAAGGACGTCAAGCAGAACCGTGGAAATGGGGATCTAGACGGAAGAGATGGCAGAGAAAACGAGGGGAAAGTGGGGAAAACGCTAGAAGCTCCAGCGGAAGAGATATTTCTGATGGTGGGATGATTCGACCCTTCTTCAACAACATGTACTTGTAGCCTAGGTACTACACGCAAGAAGGTCAGTGCTTACTGTTGACTCATTCCCCTGTCCATCAATGAAAGGGTTGAGTGGATCACATACTTTGGAAACTGCATGAGAAACTTTACAAGCGGTATAGAGCCGCATGTGTCGCATGACGGGAGCGGGGAGGGTTAATGGGCGCGGATGGAGGAACCATTGCAGCCAGAAATCGACGGTTCCTTGCTAGCATTACTTTTGTGGTGAACTCATGGGGTAGCAGCTTCGCTGAAGATAGTGCAAAAGGCACGACGATCCAAAATTCTCAACTCTGACGAATTTCGATGGGTGAAACGTTCTGTCAAATTTCGAGAAAGAACAGAATCGCTCTCTCACTATGAAGGAATAACACTGGTCCAACAGAACTTCCTTAATAAAACAAAGAAAATCGGGATTGAAGGCACTTGAAGGCGTGTCTTTGAATGCTTCTTTCCTCTCAATAAAAATGTACATAGAGAAAAAGGATCGATACAGAGTCATATAAAGCACATATTGCATCGATTATGGTGTTTCAATTGGCTTTTTAGAGAATCCGCAGGCACAGAGGATTTTCCACTTTTGCGGCTTGGAAATGTATGACAACGATACCACCATTCGTGCCTAAGGAAAAGCCCCACCCACCGCTTCGCTCAACGCCCGTTGCTCTCTCTTTCGAGGCCGTGGTAGTGCGGTGTTTCGCCTTTTTCTATTCCTAGTGGTAGGGATGAAAAGATAAGAGAAAAGCCGTGCCCTCAACAAGTGAGGAGCCGTCCAAGCAAACGCTCTCTCCGATGTGCTCGGGCAAGCTCGGATCGGCAAGATATTCTATTTAGAGCGTTCAAAATGCTTTCTTTCTCTTTTTTCCTTCCCTATCGATTGATTGATTACCTTTGCCATCAGTACTTGAGGCCCACTGTCTACCATTCCTGCTCTCAGGACGTGCCTTCAAGGAAGGGCACGTCCTGAGAGCAGGATGGTAGAATAGTGAGCCTCAAGTACTAAATGCAAAGTAATATATTGGATTAAGGGTAGACCATCGCGTTCTGGAAAATTCATGTTGAACACTTCCTCTGGTACAACCTCCTTTACCGTCCTACCTGCCATCTTGCCAAATATTCCTGGAACTTTGCTGTCGAGCGATGAACGAGGAATGAGGTGGAGCAGATAGAACCTCCCATTTGACTAGCTATCGGTTTTAGTTCTGCAGCATCGCCGACACGTGAAACGGGTAAGAAAGACTAGAATAATCCAACCCTCTAGCGACCGAATATGGCTCCGTTTTTACTGGCATAAGCATGAGGTTGAGCACTTATTGCGAAAACCATTGAAAACTGAAGATCAGCTGACGAATTGAACTAGGATGAAACATCGGGGATGGGCTCAGGACAGGAGTAAGATAGAAGCTCAGATTGGTTAGACTCTCTCCTCATCTCATTCCTCAAAGCGACATTGTTTTATGGGAACATTGGCAATCAAGCATCAGGCCGAGCTCAGAGAGACGAAAGTGCAACTGCATCAGAGAAATGAGGAAATTCTTGGACGTATTCAACCTCATGCTGGTGCTAGACCATTTAGAACCATAGGATCT